GGGAAAGAAGAAATAATGGGCACCAAGCAAATCAAAAATCTAGCAGAACAATTTACATTAGCTCTTAAGGCTTGAAAACAATTCTCTCTTCTCCGAGGCCATTTAGGTAATGGCCCTGCCTTCTATACTCTGGGTGGAAGCCCCTCAGCCTTGGGCTTCAGCTCTGCCTTCCAGGCCATTGGGATGGCAACTCTGCTACATCGACTTTGGGCAGCCCCATTCAACCAGATTGAGTAGTGACTACACCCCTTGGCCCCAGCAGATCCCAATCTTCTGCCCATTGGGCATGGCAGTCCTACCCTCCCATCTCTATGCTGGTGAAGATCTGACTCTTTGAAAGCTATGAGGCCACAGCCGAACCTTTGAGACTGAGGAGACTATGGTTCCACTTGAGATCCCAGAGATCGTGGCTCTATCCAATGAGATCAAGGCAGCTCTGCTTCCCATGCTCCTTGTCTCTTCAGCTTCTGCTTCTTGGTCCTTGGTCTCTCAGCACCTTGGGCCTCTTGGTCTGACCCAGCCTCTGTTCTGTTTTGGCAAGTGTTACAAAGCTCTTTAGCTATACCAGTGGCATAGTGCCTAAGGCATCTGACTGTTAACCAGAAGGCTGGTGGTTCAAACCCACCAGCCATTCCTCGGAAGGAAGGTTGGGCAACCTACTTCCGTAGTGATACCACCTCAGAAACCCGAGGAGGGGTCGCTATGAGTCAGACCCCACTCAACAGCAGTGAGTTTGGTTGTTTTTTTTTTTTTTTCATTTGTTAAGTGCCCAGAGGCACCCCACTACTGGTACCAAATTCTTAGTTATCTAGAAATACCACAGGTGGATGACTTTAACAAACAGAAATTTATTCTCTCACAATTTAGGAGGCTCAAGTATAAATTCAGGGCACCAGCTTTCTCTTTCTTTCAGCTCTGGGGGAAGGTCCTTGTCTCCCTTCTACATCTGTGGACCTGGCAATCCTTGGCAATTTCCAAGTATCTTGTCATCAATCTTCTCCTGGGTCTAGAAGATTCTCAGTGCAGGGACCGTGGGTCCAAAGTATGCACTCCGTTCTTGGTACTAAGGTCCCTCCCTTAACTGCTCACTCCTCTCTCATCTCCTATAAAATAAAAGGTAATGCAGGCCATGCCCTCAGGGGAACACCTTACATCAGCTCAGGGCTATGACCTGAATAAGACTGTTGCATCCTACTCTAACCCTCTCCATGTACAACTGGCTGATCACATCAAATTACATTATGGAAGATGATTACATCATTGCATAACTGCCAACCCATTAAGAATCATGACAAATATTTTGAAAGGACATAATTCAGTCCATGATAGCCATGATTCCCAGTACAATGTATTCTCCATTCTGTGATATAAGTAGAACTTCCTTAGGGGTGTGGCCTGCATCGAATATATATTACAGACATAGTGAAGTGTTTTGTTTTTACTGGGATAGACACTCTGCATATGGATTTGCCTTCCCTGAATGCACTACTTCTGCCAAAACTACTATCTGTGTTCTTACAGAATGCCTTACCCACCATCATGGTATCCCATAAAACACTGACTCTGATCAAGGGATTCACTTCATAGTAAAAGAAATGGGACAATGGGCCCATGTTCATGGTATTCCCTGGTCTTACCATATTCCCCCACCATCCTGAAGCAGCTGGCTTGACAGAATGATGGAATGGCCTTCTAAAGACACAAGTATGGAACCAGCCAAGTGGCAATACTTTGTATGGCAATACTCTCCAGGAGGCTGTATATGCACTAAACCAGCATGCAATACATGATGTTGTTTCTCCCATAGCCAGGATTCACAGGTCCAAGAATCAACAAGAAGTGGGAGTAGCACCATTTACTATTGCTGCTAGGAACACACTTGCAGAATTTTTGCTTGCTGACCCCACAACCTGATATTCTGCAGGTCTAGAAGTCTTACTTCCAAAAGGAAGAATGCTCTCACCTGGAGACACAACACTGATTCCATTGTACTACCGCGCCTCCCCCCTCCGAGTCTGGGGAGGGTATCGCCGCCGAGCCAGGACGGCGTCCGGCGCG